CTGCTTGAGCTTGAGGATCCTTGGGGCGATGCACATCTGCACCTCCATGAGTACTACAATGGCTGGATACCCCACCTTGATGGCTGTGCGCATAAGGATGCACAGCGATACACTGTCGTAGAACTTCTCGAGATCTAGAAGGAGGGTCAGGAAATGCTTCTTGTTGGCCATCCCCACTTCGTCGAGAAGAGATCTTAGCATTGCGGCCCGCAGGGCCGAGGACCCCGCCAGCGCCGTGTCCCAAAAGTCACTGAGCCCTTTGGACCATTCTGCAGCTGGTCCGGCTCGGGTCTGACTCCATACCTTTCCCGTGGTGGGGAGGAGCCCCAATACTCTGTCTCCTCCTCTAGGCTTGGCCGCAAGTGCTCCTATCGTCGCGTGGATCTGCCTGGGCCATGAGCCCACATATTCCGCGAAATTGAAGAAGTCCATTAGCATTTGCTTGCCTGACACAGGTAGCCTGGCAATGTCATTCACGCTGAAGTTATCCACCCCTTTGGCTTTGTTTGCCGACATACGAGCTAGTGCATTCTCTAGCTCCTCGAGTGTGATTGGGTCAATGTCCTGCTGCTTCGCAATTTTGAGCGTCTGACCGATCTCATGTACGATGTCTTCCATGGTGTCGACTTTGTCCGTCCAAACATTCTGCCAGTACTTGTGGCGGGTCTTCATGATGAGATCTGGGTCAGCCATGCCTTCAACTTCCGTGGTGTCCGCCTGGGAGTCCTTCACATAACGATGCAAGATCCCAGGCTTCTTAGACCACGTTTCTCGTATCCACTTCATGAAACTATGTTGGCCCTTGGCGAAGGCCCGTGCTTGAGCTCGTCTCTCCAAGGACTCCGTGCGTTCATTGACCTTGTCCAGAAAATCGAGGGACAGGGTTGCCACCGCCCGTAGTGGCGTGCTGGGTTCAGGTGGAACATCTGCTGGTTCCGCGTCATCCTGTGGAGCATATTCCTCCTCATGTTCAGCTTGGGGGAATACGTCATCTTCATCATCCATATTCGTGCGCCGAACCATGCCGCTGCTGCCGTTGATGTCCTTGTGCCGCAGGTCGGACTCGCCCCCTACGGCATTCGCCTGGCCTCCCAACTGTCCCCACTCTGCTCCCTTACTACCGCCCCTTGCGGGGTTGGTGGGCCTGCATTGTGGGTCCAGGGGCTCTGTAGGGGGGTCGACCTGCAGCAATGAGGCCGAAGTAGACAAGGAAGCCGTCGTTCTTGTGAGTCCGCGGGGGCAGCCCCCGACTCCGTGCACGTCTTCAGACGTGCACGTATCCATCATATGCCGCATATGCACCTGTGGAGAGCCTTCACGCACCTCCCCCTCACGCTGGCCAGGCAGGTCATCATCAAGATGCGTGGGCGCCCAAGGTGTTCCCTGAGGCTCGCCAGGACGACGCCCACCATGACAATCTTCCCTGCCTTGGGGGGCCAGGCGAAATTGTGGAATCTCATCTTCATCATCCATATTTGTGCGACAAGCCTTCCCGTTGTTGCCGTCCATGTCCTGCAGCATTGTGGCCGTAGTAGACAAGGAAGCCGTCGTTGTTGTGAGTCCGCGGGGACAGCCCCCGACTCCGTACACTTCTCCCATCGTGCACATATCCAAATTATGCCGCGTCTGCATCTGTGGAGAGCCTTCACGCACCTCTCCTTCACGCTGGCCAGGAAGGTCTTCATCATCATGGATGGGCGCCCAAGGTGACAGAGGGTCGCCAGGACGACGCCCACCGTGACAACAATCCCCACCTTGGGAGGCCAGAAGAACTTGAAGGGCAGGTGAAGGGTTCGGGGACGAAGTAGCCGTTGCCGTAGGACTTGTGGGTCCGCGGGGGAAGCCCCCGACCCCGTGTGCCTCTCCCAGGACACACTTATCTGAAGATGCCGCATCCGTGCCTTCCTGAGCAAAGGGGGTACCAGAGACTGGCCAGCACTGGAAGTGTGGAGTGCGGCTGATGAGCTTCAGGATGCCTGGGTCGAGGTCGGAGTGGTCTGGCGTCGGGGCCGAACTGGCCTTCTTCATGGCCATAACTGTGGAGTACTCAGCCTGGATCTGCGCCTGGTCTACGTTACACAGCCTGCTGTACATGTCAATCCATTCTTCGCGATCCGCATCGCTGTTCTTGCCGAAGTACTGAAGTGGCGTGCCCTTGAGGATGCCAGAACCAATTTCTTCCAGGCGCCTGAGTATATCATTCTGCTGCTCTGGGTCAAGACCTTTGGCGACCAGCTTGCGCAGTCGTGAGACCAAGGTCGACATCACACCCCATAACTCAGCAGGCTTATCTTCCACATGGACTCGCCCTGGGGTTGACTTAGAAACTTCCCATTGAAGTTGGAACCCGTTGCGTCTGCCCGTGCAATGTCGCTGGGGCGCTGGCTCGGCAGAGAGAATAGTCTCCTCCAAGGCCGTGACCCATCTCGCGTAATACCAATCTATCTGGTGCTGCCCTTCCAAGTCACGAGCCAACGCCTGAGTGACTGGGATAGGATGGGAGGTGAAATCAAGTCCCTCCATCAATAAAGCGTCCGCCTGAGCGAGTCCAATAGTCCAATTGTCCTCAAGAATGTGGAACTTCGGTTGGGTCGGTTCTTGGCCGTCCTGCTCCTGACTCATCTCCATGAACGCATCCTGCAGCTGTACTGGGAGTACTTCAGCTCGCCGTTGAGTCTGCTTTTTCTTCTGCTTGCTACGCTTGCTGTCTGCCTGGGGCTGGAGCTTTGGCTTGGAGTATGCGGGCAGCGTGGGGATCAAGGTAATGCTGCGGTGCCACCACTTGCTGCTGAACCCTGCTATGGTAATCTCCAGCCCAGCATGCGGTCTCCAAGGAACTGTGAGTACCGCCTGAATATTGACAAAGCCCTGGTATCCATCCTTCACTAATGCATAGTCGTACATGCCGCCATTGGTGCCTTGGTCGCAGGTGAAGTGCACGTTGCCAGCCGTGACGATGTGTCCCTGCATCATGTTGGGCCACTTAGTATTGGTGAATGCGTCTGGCGACATGTTCCAGTCTCCGAGGACGATCCAGGGGTCTCGAATCTTGAAAAGAAAGGCCGACAAGGCCTTGAGGGTATCTGCGTTCCTGCGCTGGACTCCCATGCCTGGGGATAAGTACGTCGAAACTACCACCAAGTTGCCAGATTGCAGGTGCCATATAATAGGAATGAAACCTCTGAATGGGTCTTTGTGTCCCATGGCGATCATATCCGTACGCATCTTCTCCATCGTCGTGGTGGCGACGAAATTACGAGCCAATATCCATTCGCCTGCGGAGAAGCCTTCATGCTTCTTCACTGCTGGTGTGGCTGCCAACTTCCATCCATCCTTCCGTAGTGTCTCGCGCTCCATGGGGATGCGAGCCTTCTCGACGTGGGTCTCCACAAGGGCGACCATCTTGTAGTGCTTGCGAATCTTGTGAATGTACCTGGAGGCTGTGGGCCCCCACTGTGTGACGTTGCCGAAGAACAACGTCGCCTGTGACTCGTCACCCCCGCGACGGCTGGCCACTGGGTGCAGCAGCGCCATCAGCAGCAGGAGAAGCTTCATGGGGGTGACGACCGACCGCCTGCCTGAGGCCCTCCTTCGCGGCTGAGAGAGTGGCGGGCTTCCCTGTCTTCTTCGCCGCGGCCGCTGCCTCCTTGGCGTTCTGGGAGATGGCCTCACGAGCAGCGGTGGCCTGCTCCTCCGTGAGGAGGTTGGCCGTGCGCTCGGCCGCCGACGGTGCCTCTGCCGCCGCTGCGCCTGCACCCTTGGCTGGCGGGCAAGCAGGCACCTTGGCAGGCGCCGCCTTGACTGGAGGCGGCACAATGGGAGGGGCTGGCGACGTCGGTGGGGCCTGCTTGGCTGGCGTGTCAGCGCGCGCCGTCGGCATCGCACCGTGCACCGCACCCTCAGGGGTGCGCCTCTTCTTGTTGGCGGGCTCCTCGACTGCCGCCTTGATACTCTTGAGTAGCTCCTCGAAGCGTTTCTGGTCCTCTTGAAGCTCCTGCTGGTGGCGGGCGACTTCTGCCTGCCATTGCCGTAGTGACTCCTGCACAGAGTCCTCATACTCATCGATGTTCTCGAAGAGGGCGGAATCGACCTCAAAGAAGACTGCAGCTGAATCCTTGGGTTCGTGGCGTCTGGGTGTCGGGTCCAAACGCCAATAGTCGTCGTGGGCCTTCGTACGCTCGGCCTCGGCGGCGAGGGAGGTCTCGATCTGGAGGTTGTGGACCCTCTTGGCCTCCTCCAGCGCCTGCTCCGCTTCCAAGAGCCTGTTGGCCGTCTTGATGAGGCGCTGCTCTTCCTGCTCCGCGATGCGATCCGCCCTGAGCATAGCCTGCTTCGCCGCGGACGGGTCCTTGGTGGCCTTCTGCTGCTTCTCGTGCTCTGCCTTGTCGATCTCGGCCTGCAACGCTTGCGCGGCAGGCGTCGCCCGAAGCTCTTCAGGGAGAAAGTCTCGGAAGGAAATTGGCGATGGCTCTCTCCATGGCGGGATACCTCCGCCATCGGACTTCGGGTACTTCTTCTTGGGCTTGAACACCTCAAGATGCTTCTTGCAGAACAAACATTTGCCACCAAGCTCCTCGATCCTCCAATTGTAGGTCCACTCTCCACACGAGCACCACGCATACTGCTGAGCTGGCTTCTTGCCCATGACACAGAGAGAGGGGTCAAAGGATGCTGCGCCGCTGGGCAGCTCACGCAGCGGATCGGTGAAGAAACTGGGGTCTAGCCGCGGACTAGCGGTATCCACTTGTTTCCGCTGGGAAACCAAAACCTTGAGCCAAATGGCTACGGATGATGATGATGAGGAGGAGGAGGAGGAGGAGGAGGAGGAGGAGGAGTCAAGGGTGGGGAACGAATCAGGATGTGGTACTGGGCAGTCCCAGGGGCAGCTTGCGAAGGGAGATACAGCGGGAGGGGCGGGGGACGAGGGGGACGAGAGGGAAGGAAAGCGAATGGAAGGGGGACGGAGGGGGGGAAGCGGCGGGAGCAGTCGGGAGGTGCATAGCCACGTTGACTCGAGGCCTTCACTCTGGAGCTCGGCGGCACCGCTGCCATGGAGCCCGACGCATTCCTGCAGGCGCTGCTGAAGCTGGCCCCCGACCTTCGGGCGGCAGAGCCGCCAACCCTGCCCCCGGAGGCCCGGCCGGCGCAGGCCGACGCCGGAGGTCCGCGCGGCGGGGGCCCACCGCCGGCGCCCGGGCCGGCGCCCAAGGCCATCCCGGAGGAGGCGTTCCGGCAGAGGCTGCTGCTCCTGGCGGCGAGGAGTGCGGGAGGGCAGGGGAAAAGTCGGGTATGAGCCTTTCCTGTTTTTACCTAACAGCTTTTGCTGATAGGTTTCTAGTGGACTCAAAAGAGAGCATCTGATGACTCCACAGGGGGTTCTGGGCGGGTGCCGGGGAAAAGAACCGGGAACAGAGCCGGGCTCGTTTTAAGCCAACAGTCACACACTTCGTGCTCTTCGACCTCCCAGAAGTCCATTCCCGGGCCACATTTTGGATGCCCGGAGCCAACTGTAGGCCACTTCGTGCTCTTCGACTTCCCAGAACTCCATTCCCGGGCCACATTTTGGATGCCCGGAGCCAACTGTAGGCCACTTCGTGCTCTTCGATTTCCCAGAACTCCATTCCCGGGCCACATTTTGAATGCCCGGAGCCAACTGTAGGCCACTTCGTGGTCTTCGAGTTCCCAGAACTCCATTCCTGGGCATGATTTTGAATGCCCGGAGCCAACTGTAGGCCACTTCGTGTTCTTCGAGTTCCCAGAATTCCATTCCCGGGCCACATTTTGAATGCTGGACAGGCTGAGGCTGAGGCTGAGGCAGGCTGAGGCTGAGGCAGGCTGAGGCTGAGGCCGAGGCTGAAGGCAGACTGAGGCTGAGGCTGAAGCAGGCTGAGGCTGAGGCTGAGGCAGGCTGAGGCTGAGGCTGGCAGGCTGATGCTGAGGCAGGCTGAGGCTGAGGCTGAGGCTGATGCAGGCTGAGGCTGAGGCAGGCTGAGGCTGAGGCCAAGGCTGAAGGCAGACTGAGGCTTTGGCTGAAGCAGGCTGAGGCTGAGGCTGAGGCTGAGGCTGGCAGGCTGAGGCTGAGGCTGAGGCAGGCTGATGCTGAGGCAGGCTGAGGCTGAGGCTGAGGCTGATGCAGGCTGAGGCTGAGGCAGGCTGAGGCTGAGGCCGAGGCTGAAGGCAGACTGAGGCTGAGGCTGAAGCAGGCTGAGGCTGAGGCTGAGGCAGGCTGAGGCTGAGGCTGAGGCAGGCTGATGCTGAGGCAGGCTGAGGCTGAGGCTGAGGCTGATGCAGGCTGAGGCTGAGGCAGGCTGAGGCTGAGGCCGAGGCTGAAGGCAGACTGAGGCTGAGGCTGAAGCAGGCTGAGGCTGAGGCTGAGGCAGGCTGAGGCTGAGGCAGGCTGAGGCTGAGGCTGAGGCAGGCTGAGGCTGAGGCTGAGGCTGAGGCAGGCTGAGGCTGAGGCAGGCTGAGGCTGAGGCCGAGGCTGAAGGCAGACTGAGGCTGAGGCTGAAGCAGGCTGAGGCTGAGGCTGAGGCAGGCTGAGGCTGAGGCTGAGGCAGGCTGAGGCTGAGGCTGTGACTGCGACTGCCGTTGCCACTGCGACTGTCATCGCGAATGCGACTACGACTGCGAGAACAGCAGAATTCTACAACTGGATTCTCATCCGAATCTTAAGGGGAGTGCTTCCAGATATGCTCCTACACATCGCTGTTAGGTTGTTTTGCCGGGATAATTTACCTAACAGCTTTTGCTGATAGGTTTCGAGTGGACTCAAAAGAGAGCATCTGATGACTCCACAGGGGGGTCTGGGCGGGTGCCGGGGAAAAGAACCGGGAACAGAGCCGGGCTCGTTTTATGCCATCAGTCACACACTTCGTGTTCTTCGACCTCCCAGAACTCCATTCCCGGGCCACATTTTGAATAACCGGAGCCAACAGTCGCACACTTCGTGCTCTTCGAGTTCCCAGAAGTCCATTCCCGGGCCACATTTTGGATGCCCGGAGCCAACTGTAGGCCACTTCGTGCTCTTCAAGTTCCCAGAACTCCATTCCTGGGCATGATTTTGAATGCCCGGAGCCAACTGTAGGCCACTTCGTGTTCTTCGAGTTCCCAGAACTCCATTCCCGGGCCACATTTTGAATGCTGAGGCAGGCTGATGCTGAGGCTGAGGCAGGCTGAGGCTGAGGCAGGCTGAGGCTGAGGCCGAGGCTGAAGGCAGACTGAGGCTGAGGCTGAAGCAGACTGAGGCTGAGGCTGAGGCAGGCTGAGGCTGAGGCTGAGGCAGGCTGATGCTGAGGCAGGCTGAGGCTGAGGCTGAGGCTGATGCAGGCTGAGGCTGAGGCAGGCTGAGGCTGAGGCCGAGGCTGAAGGCAGACTGAGGCTGAGGCTGAAGCAGGCTGAGGCTGAGGCAGGCTGAGGCTGAGGCAGGCTGAGGCTGAGGCTGAGGCAGGCTGAGGCTGAGGCTGTGTATGCGACTGCCGTTGCCGCTGCGACTGTCATCGCGAATGCGACTACGACTGCGAGAACAGCAGAATTCTACAACTGGATTCTCATCTGAATCTTAAGGGGAATGCTTTCAGATATGCTTCTACATATCGCTGTTAGGTTGCTTTGCCGGGATAATTTGTGGATTCAGGCAAGTGTACTTGCATGGCGTTCGCCCCCCCCGCCCCCCCCTCGCCCCTCTTCAAGCGAATACTAGCGTGCAATGCCTTTCGACTTGCGTGATTTCCGCGCCCCCCCCGCCCCTGGGCTTGCTTCAGGCGGCTCAGCCCCCCCCCCCCCCGTCCATGCAAGTAAACTTGCCAGAGTTTAAAAAAAACCGGCTCAAAGTCGGGTATATGGCCAGGGCCCCAGGCAAGGGGGCCTGGTCAGTGGTAGGGCCCTGGAGCCACGGAGTGGGCCAGAGTCACTAGACCAGGTTTGCCGCAGCTGGTGTTTTCTCAGGTGACGGCAGTTCCGGTTCGTGGAACGGCGGGGCGTCCCCCAGTACACATCATTAAACTAGGTCCCACTAAACCTGGTTCTGCCAACGCCCGAAAAGGGGGTGTGGTGTGTAAAGGGGTGTGGTGCCGATGCTGGGCCTGGCGAGGCTAGCCATCGCAGATAGCAGCATCGCCATTTCCACGATGGGCGCCACACACCCGTACAGTCAACCAGCATAGTAAGGATGGGCAACCTTCCCCAGGACACCTTTGCATCCTTGCCTCCTCGGTCCATCCTTCGCCACTTCCGTTGGCCGCGCCCCGCTCGACAAGCTTCGAACTGGGCGTCCAAGGCCCTTGCATCCTTATCGCGCATCCTTACTACGCAGGTCGACCGTATGCCACACCCCTTTCCAACCTCCCGAGGAATGAGGAGCCCACGCAGGGGCCTGGCCTGGCGGCCGCTAGCCGCGCCGCCGCCAGCGAGGGCCCCGCGGCTCCGCCGCTGGAGGGCATGCTCGGGGACCTCCTAGCGGCGCTGCACAAGGAGCAGCCCGGGGACCCCCTGTCCCGAGAGGAGGCGGCGGCCCTGGTGGAGGCCGACGCGGTGGCCGCCGGCGAGGGCCCCGCGGCTCCGCCGCTGGAGGGCATGCTCGGAGACCTCCTCGCTGCGCTGCACAAGGAGCAGCCCGGGGACCCCCTGTCCCGAGAGGAGGCGGCGGCCCTGGGGGGGGCCGGCGCGGCGGCCGCGGCCCTCCCGCAGGGCGCTCCACCGGCGGGCTGGTGCGGCGGCGAGCCAGGCGGAAGTCGGGCCTGTCCCTCTGCAGGGGGAGTATTCAAAAATAGTCAGAAAAAAACAGTCCGGGGACGATTTATTGCCTATTTTTTAAAGTAGTATTTTTACCTAACAGCTTTTGCTGATAGGTTTCTAGTGGTGTCAAAAGAGAGCATCATGACTCCTCAGGGGGGTCTGGGCGGGTGCCGGGGAGGAGAACCGGGAATCTTTTTTCGCAAACAGTCACACACTTCGTGCTCTTCGACCTCCCAGAACTCCATTCCCGGGACACATTCTGGAGAACCGGGAACAGAGCCGGGTTCGCTTTGCGCGAACAGTCACACACTTCGTGCTCTTCGACCTCCCAGAACTCCATTCCCGGGCCACATTCTGGAGAACCGGGAACAGAGCCGGGCTCGTTTTTCGTCAACAGTCACACACTTCGTGCTCTTCGACCTCCCAGAACTCCACTCCCGGGCTACATTTTGAGTGCCCGGAGCCAACTGTAGGCCACTTCGTGCTCTTCGAGTTCCCAGAACTCCATTCCCGGGCCACATTTTGGATGCCCGGAGCCAACTGTAGGCCACTTCGTGCTCTTCGATTTCCCAGAACTCCATTCCCGGGCCACATTTTGGATGCCCGGAGCCAACTGTAGGCCACTTCGTGCTCTTCAAGTTCCCAGAACTCCATTCTTGGGCATGATTTTGAATGCCCGGAGCCAACTGTAGGCCACTTCGTGTTCTTCTAGTTCCCAGAACTCCATTCCTGGGCCACATTTTGAATGCTGAGGCAGGCTGATGCTGCGGCCGAGGCAGGCTGAGGCTGAGGCAGGCTGAGGCTGAGGCCGAGGCTGAAGGCAGACTGAGGCTGAGGCTGAAGCAGACTGAGGCTGAGGCTGAGGCAGGCTGAGGCTGAGGCTGAAGCAGGCTGATGCTGAGGCAGGCTGAGGCTGAGGCTGAGGCTGATGCAGGCTGAGGCTGAGGCAGGCTGAGGCTGAGGCCGAGGCTGAAGGCAGACTGAGGCTGAGGCTGAAGCAGGCTGAGGCTGAGGCTGAGGCAGGCTGAGGCTGAGGCTGAGGCTGAGGCTGAGGCAGGCTGAGGCTGAGGCTGTGACTGCGACTGCCGTTGCCGCTGCGACTGTCATCGCGAATGCGACTACGACTGCGAGAACAGCAGAATTCTACAACTGGATGTTCATCTGAATCTTAAGGGGAATGCTTTCAGATATGCTTCTACACATCGCTGTTAGGTTGCTTTGCCGGGATAATTTGACTATTGTTGACACTTCGCTCCAAATCGGCCTCTAGGGGGACATGCCCGACCGAAAGCCAGGCAGTTGTGCGGCCTCCATCGAGCCGCTGCGGCTACAAGAGGCGTCCGCGGCCTCTGGGGGAGGAGGCCTCGCCGCGGCCGTGGCGGCCGCCGCCGCGGTGCTGCGGGAGGGCCAGGCCCCAAGGGACCGCGCGCCGCTCGGGGAGGCCTCGGGGCCCTCGGCCGCCGGCTCCGCCTGCCCCAGCGGCCGCGGATGAGGCCGCGGGCAGCACCTGCTGCCTCGACGCGGCCAGGCGTTGGGGGGAAAAGTGCAGCGCCCCTGCCGCAGCCCCTGGCAGAAATGGGGGGGGGGGGGCATGCGTACCTTGGGAGGCGCTGGAGGAAGGGAGGCCCGACGGGGTGGCACTGTTCCTGTCGTCATTCAGGCGTGGATTGGATGGCTGTTCTTTTGGTTGACCCTCGCTAGGGCCGCACGCTGGTCGAGCCCAAGAGCGAAGGAATTCACGCATGGACATTCGCTTCCCAGGGGGGCCTCGAGCTGTAAGTTTTGGAGGTGCAGAGAGGCCTATCTTCCGATCGCAGGGTTGGTGTCCCACTTTTTGTGAGGAGGAGGAGGAGGAGGAGGTGGTGGGGGACCAGAATAAGAGGGAGGAATAACATGAGGATTGTCGGTGTCCCAGCCCTGATTCCCTGGCATTGGCCGCCTGGTGTGGCGGGGCGGGCGGAGTTGTTGCCACACGTCGAACTTCGTGTGCTGTGCGACATGAGGAGGGTGTTGTCAGCGAGAAACTGTGGTCGTGACTACTAGGGAGCTCAGCGCTGGAGCGTTGCCAGCTTCGCGCATGGCAGAGCAGTGCACCCACCTGGTTGCGAGCCAAGCTTGCTGCGCTGCGCTTTTCAGTATACGCAGTGTGGTGGGAACGGAAGAGCAGGGTAACAACACAGGAGGTGACATCCGTTTGAACTGCTCAAAACCTGTGCTGAGGGGTGCGTTTTCGTGCGTTCAATGTGGACGCATGCCATGCAGTCGCAGCGTTGTTACGCAGCCCATGGTGAACGCCTGGTCATCCTGTTTGGCGGGCAGGGCGACTTGGCAATGAACTCACGATCGCACGCCTTGGTGCAATGACACGGCGCCATGATCAAATGATGCGCAGACTGCGTTGTTCGGAACGTTTCCCGTATCCCTCCAGCCCATTTATCGGGACGCAGGTGCAGCCGGCAGCGTTCAGTAGGATTAGCATTGGTGCAGCCACGCGCGCAGTGGGCGAGCATACTTTCAGGCTGGCGAAATGCCTAGGAGGAGGTTGAGGGGTGGAACCAACGATGGCACAACCATCAGGACAACCGTCTTCATCCATCGAACAACCTCTAGTGGTCTAGATATACATCTATCGATCTCACTGTCCATCTATCTGTCGATCTTGCTCGAGATCGATCCATCTCACATTGCATCTATCGATCTCACTATTTATCGATACATTGGACGCACCACCGATAGATCGATTCCACTACTCATATATCGATATCATTACCTCTCTCTCTCGATATACATGGATGTATCGATCTCGATATCACACACATGCAGATATCGGTATCACTGTCAAGATGTGCCCGATAGGTCGATCTATCGGGCTCAGTACCTACCGATCGACCCCACGATCAATCGATCAATACACCATAGGGATAAACATCGGAACAGCCTGTACCGGTTGAACATTCGATCGATGCCAGTATTAATTTCTATATGTATTCATGTTATTATTTGCCAGTTTATCTTACGATCTCCATATCACTCGATTTTACTATCTATCCACCTTGTACATTGATTTTGACATCACGATCCATTTACATATATCCGTAGCTCCCCATTTGAATCATGAATCATCTCTCGATTATAATATCTATCTGTTTGCCGGACCATCGGGACAACCACCAGGGACACCATCGGGACAACCACCATGACAACCACTATCGGGACAACCACCAGGACAACCATCGGGATAACAATCGGGAACACCATCGGGACAACCATCGGGACAACCACGGGACGATCACGGGACAACCATCGACAACCATGAGACAACCACAGAACATCCGCGAGCCCCATCCAACCAGGCGAGGAGACTTTTGGTTGTTTTTATTTCACCGTAGCTTCGCTTCGCCCGCACGCACGACATGCACAAGAAACCGGGGTTTCTCTGTTTTACTTCGATCTCACCCCCCAACCTCCGATCCGTTGTAGTTTGTAGTCGGGATCAGCGACAGCACCCCAGGCCGCATAGAAGGTTCTGACTTTGCCCTGGTCCGAAATCCGGCTTAATCTGGCTTGATCCCGTTAACTTTGGCTCAATCTTGTTGAATCCTGCTGAATCCCAGTTAATCCGCGGCCTACTCCGGCGTAGCAGCCCCCCAATGGGGCGTAATCCTCCCTAATCTTTCCGACGAAGGCCTCCCAGTAGTTACCTCCACGAGCGTGTAAATCGGAGGGCCAGGAATTGTGAGGCACGTCGATGTCAACCACTCAAGCCAATCGGTCTGGTTTTTGTTTGACATGTTTGTGTCAAGGCACCGCAGACACACTGTTCAAGCTATGTTTTCAGTCCCGGGGTGCGCTGGTGTAGCATGGTATGGCTGTGCTAACGTTTCGCGTATGGTTTTCCAGAGTCGATCATTATTGGTTGGGAGGCGGGGATCTCGAACGATCCTTATGGAGTCTGGTCTGCTGTTTGCAGTCAGGCAAGTCTCTGCGCCCATAGTCTATTTCTGCCAGGGCGCGCAACTTGTATTTTCTATGCCAGTTTGCTCACATTTCTGGCTGCAAAGTAATCCACAATCCTGCATACTGCGGGGTAGCTCGGGACGCTGGCGTTGTTGTATGAGGTTTTTGCTCACGGGTTGTTGCCCTGGAAGGCGGGCTGTGCCCATCTCGCGACAGAGTCAGCGCTCCGTCCATCTGTTGCGATTCGTGCATGTCTCCCGTTGTGATGGGGGGGCGGCAGCGGTGGACCCTGCTTCATGTGCTGTTGTGTGCAGTTTTCCCTTGAAGTTTGTTCCCCATATCCTAAGATGGGGTTCTTGCTATTCTTTGGGCGCCGCCGACTCCAGAGAGAACACACCTACTCATACACAGACTTCCTCATACTCAGACCTACTCATATTCATACCTTTTCATGGTCTGACTTACTCAACATACAACATGCAGGCCTACTCGTACTCAGACTTACTCATGCTGGGACTCCTTCATACCCAGACTTACTCATACCCAGACTCGTTCCCAGACCTGCTCATACACAGACTTACTCATACCCCGACCTACACATACTCAGACCTTCTCATAGTCTGAGTTGCTCAACGCACGGACTGAGACCTGCTCATATTCAGACCTAGTCATACTCAGACTCGCAAGGGGAGCCGCCAGGGGTGTTTTCACGGGCCCGTTCGCGGCCAGTCTGTGGGGATGTTTCAGGCGGTTTGTTCGTTTTCGTGTCCAACATCTTTTGCTTTCAGAGCAGATTGTGAGGATGTCTCAGGCGGGGCGGTGGTTTCAGCACCCCTGAGGGGAGCCGCCAGGAGTGTTTTCACGGGCCCGTTCGCGGCCAGTCTGTGGGGATGTCTCAGGCGGTTTGTTCGTTTTCATGCCCAACACCATTAGCTTTCAGAGCAGATTGTGAGGATGTCTCAGGCGGGGCGCTGGTTTCAGCACCCCTAAGGGGAGCCGCCAGGGGTGTTTTCACGGGCCCGTTCGCGGCTAGTCTGTGGGGATGTCTCAGGCGGTTTGGTCGTTTTCATGCCCAACACCCTTGGCTTTCAAAGCAGATTTTGAGGATGTCTCAGGCGGGGCGCTGGTTTCAGTATTCCGAAGGGGAGCCGCCAGGGGTGTTTTCACGAACCCGTTCGCGTCCAGTCTGTGGGGATGTCTCAGGCGGTTTGGTCGTTTTCATGCCCAATATCCTTTGTTTCAGAGCAGTTTTTGAAGATGTCTCCAGGCGGAGCTCAGAGCAGATTTTGAGGATGTCTCAGGCGGGGCGCTGGTTTCAGCACCCCTACAAGGAGCCGCCAGGGGGTAGGACACGGACACGTTCGCGGCCAGTTTGTGGGAATGTCTCAGGAGGTTTGCTCGTTTTCATGCCCAACATCAGTGGCTTTCAGATTCAACATTCTTCGCTTTCACTCACTCGCATTAGGATTCGCTCGTCTTCATCGGCCTTGTCGCCCATGCGGACGCGCTATTATAGTCAAGCGCTCATGAACAGACGCTCACTACGGCATGACAAAAAACATGATATGCACATATGGGGAGCTCCACGAAGTGAGTAATTTTTTCACCCTCTGGCGAGAACGGCCGTCACCGGGGGGTGGGTGGGGGGCGTGGCCCGTCAATATGATTGGCGTGGGGCCTGGGAAGCCTGGTAAAGTTTGGGCTGGGAGTGGCTGGGGACGGCTGAGACGACGACGCCGACGACGCCGCCGACGACGACGACAACGACGACGACGACCACGACCCCACCCACAAATACGACCACGGCCACCACGACCACGACGACCACGACGACCATGTCCTCGATCACGACAACGATCACGATCACGACCACGTCGACGACGACGAGTTTGATGACGATGACGATTACGATTACGATGAAACGACGAGGCGATGGCGACCGACGTCGTCGCGAGGCCCCCCCGAAGCGTCCACACACATTATAGGCAGGGCGTGTCCAGGCAATGCGGTGTACACAGGCACTGAGGCGTTGTGGTGCACGTTTCCGGCTGCAGCAGCATCTGTGGTGTACACAAGCACTTTTGATGGTGCACGCGGCTGCTGTGGTGCCAGGCTGCGCCGGCGCGAAACGTGACGTGGGGCCCAGGACGGCTTGTACCGCAGACCGTGAAACAAGTTTTTTTTGTTTTGCCTTTTTCCCCCTTGATTCTTCCAGGTGAACCGATCAGGTATCCAACCAAAGACCCCCCCTTCTTGCACAGACAGGCGAAGTCATTAAAAACCAGGCAGTCCTCCGCGGCCCAACCAGCAAATCACCGCCGCCCCGCGCTCTTCCATTGCAACGCGCCGACGCCACTCATGGTATGTCTCGCGTACGCCATGCGCAGTACTTGCGACCGACGCGAAGACTTGCCATTGCATCCCGCAGGCTGCAAAGTAACGCTGAGACCTGGCTTCTCTTTCCGTGTCCATCAGGTGGTATTGCTCCTCGCTTTGTCTTGGTTGCGTTGGCCCCGTGTGCCGCATGATCGCTGGTTCCAGTAGTGTTCCCCGCCTCCGTGCCGTTCGCAGTGGCGTTGCCGGCCGCTGTGTTGGGGGTCTCAGTGGCACGCCCGAGATGGGCACC